GAGAGAGAGAGAGAGAGAGAGAGAGAGAGAGAGAGAGAGAGAGGGGCAGCACTAAGTAGACTCATCAGTGGGTTGGGGTTTTTTTTGTTTGTTTGTTTTTTTAAGATGGAAAGAGAGCACAGAAAACTGGAAGGACAAAATGATTGGGGATAGAGGAGTTGGAGGTGAGAAAATAAGGTGGTAGATTTGATCAAAACATATTCCATGCATGTATGAAATTCTCAAACAATGAAAGTGTTTAAAATAATAAGCCTAAAGTGCAATTAGACTAATAGTGGCTGATGACGATCCAGCTTTCTGAGTATGTCATAGCCATCAAGCAAACCCTTCACTTGAATGGATTTTAGGGTGTATGCATCGTATCTCAGTAAAGAGGTTTGAAAAACCATCAGAACTATTTATTTCCCAATCATTTGAAAATCAGAACAATCCAATTTGAGTTTTAATGTCAAAATAAAAGAATTTAGATAGGCATGTTGGCATATGCCTGAAATTCCAGCACTCAGGAGGCTGAGGTAGGAGAATCAAGTTTTCAAGGCCAGTCTGGGCTATGTAGTAAGCTCCAGGACAGCAGGGCCATCACAGCAAGATCCTCTATCAAGAAAGGAGGGAAGGACAAGCAGAAGGAAGAGGAGCAGAGGATGAGAGGGGGGAAGGGAAGGATAGGAAAGGGGACAGAAGGAAAGGAATTAATTATAATCTAACATCATTGGTGAAGAGCAGGACACAGATGCAGTTTTGACCTCTTTTCATGCTCAGAGTTGTAGGGGAAGCTGTAGCCATGCCTACTTAGGGGCTGGCTACAGATGTGCCTAACCAAGCTTGCGAGGGCGTGGTCAGGGTGACGTAGAGCGATACTGCGTTTTCTCTTTCAGTCTCTCTTTTGTGCTTGCCTACAGACTGCTGCCACGCCAGCTGGCTAGGTCGCTCTGTAAGTAAGGCTTTTCCCTATTAAATACCCTTATATTTCTACCTGACTCTGTATTGGTAATTTCCCACCATACAGAGTTATAAAAATATTAAATATACTGGTTAGTACAATTTTGTTTTTAAACAAAAGGAAACACAGTCAACCTTCCCTAACCCTGAGTTCCACACTTGTGAATTCAACCAACAAATTATCAAAATTAATCAGGGAAAATTATCTGTACTGAAACTGTACAGTGCTTTTTCTTGTTTGTATTCCCTAAACAACACACTGTAACAAGAGCACCCATGGCTTGCACATTGTGTTAAACAGTAAAAGTAATCTAGGGATAGATTACATGGAAACTTGTGTGTGTTACCAGGAAATATAATGACATTTTTAAAAGAGCCTTGAGCATCCTCTGATTTTTGTTATCCTATGTCCTGGCATCTTTGCTAAAATCAATAGTTCTCTCTCTCTCTCTCTCTCTCCTCTCTTCTTCCTCCTCCTCTGTGTGTGTGTGTGTGTGTGTGTGTGTGTGTGTGTGTGAATCCTTTTCTTTCTCTCTACCCCCTCTTTGTGAATGTGTATAAATTTACTGGTAAATTCTACTGTTTAATATATATGCTTTAAATTTCACTGGCAAATGTCACTATTTAATGCAGCTACATTAAGACAACTATATGGATTATTAAGCTGGGAAATGTTTAAAAGAATATGCATTCTGAAGTTTTGATTTTGCACTGACATTTTACAATGTACTTGATTTTGAGCTGATAAGAAATAGATATTTAATATTAAGTTATCATAAAAAAACTCAATGATGTTTTCAATCCTCTTATCACAAGCTATGAATGAAGAAGTTAGACTTTGCTTCTTCAAAAACTGACAAGAGCTCTGGGTTTCCTTCCCTATGGCTCAAATAATGTCAGTCCAGTTCTGCTGCATACCGAAGAGGGAGAACACGGGTGCTGTTCAAAGGATTCTGAAAATTCCTGCATTTGGGGATGAGCTCCTCTTTGTGATCCCAGTGGCTCCTTGAATGACCCGTCCACTGAGCATTTTCTGTGATACCGCATGGGAAGATGGCTTCGGGATCCCTGGTCCTCATGAGAATGTCGTCTTGGGTGGCAGTCAGGCGATGAAATGCCGGGCAATGCAGGGAACTAGGAATATAGAAATTTCTTAAGTTTTCCTCAAAATGGGTATGTACAATACTAGCACAAAGACAGAACACATAAAATAACAACTAAAGAAATCACATTTTAGGAAAATTGTATCTTCTTTCTCAGTAAGAGCTTCTCCTGCCATAAGGCAGCAGAATTAGTGGTTAAAATATCATGCGGAGTATCTCCAGGCTACCATTATTGCTTGTTTTTCTACCAACAGGACAGTGGAGGTCTCCAGGCCATGAATGAAATTGTCAGAACATTCCTTTAAAAGTTTTAGTGACACTAACAAATGTTTTATAATGTAAAGATGAATATTTATGGCCTTTTAAAAAAGAAAATAATGGAGGAATTATAAGGAACAACTGATTTAACATATAAAATCACTACTATATATCAAAAGCTATATAAAATTAAGCTTATATGAAGACACATTATCAATGCCTAGCAAATATCCAGAGCAAATACAATCATATCATGAAGGCTTCTAGACAAGATCATATAATACAATGACATCAATGTTGAGGTCACAATTTAAAAATAAACGAAGGGCAGAGTTCAGAGAAGCCAAATTTCCTGAAAGAACTACGACACTCAGTTTTTCTCATACTCCAGTGTAAACTTTGTACTGGAGACATTTATCTCCATGTTGCCAAATTCTTCACAGTGTTTTGTCTATCTCAGTCACTGAGTCATATTCAACTTAGTTTTCCCATGGAGTCCTTCTGGAAACATGCTTCTTTCTCCCTTCCATCACTGTACATCTTCAACTTTCTTAGATCTGTCTGTCATAGCAGCTCAGACATTTTGGTCACTTATCCCTTCAGCTTGTGTGTGTGTGTGTGTGTGTGTGTGTGTGTGTGTGTGTGTTGGAGGCTCTAGATTAGTCCCTTCCTTTTCTTTCTCTTTTCATTCTACACTATCTCCCTACACCTGTCTAGATCTCAATTTCTAACTATAATCCTAATTTATATAAGTAATGCTGACCTCTCTCCTGAGCTGCTTATTCAATGTCTGGTGGTGTTCCATAGACTTTCAAACTGACATATATATCTGAGATGTTGAAGGCCATTGTTTTGGTCCAGGCATCCGAATTGGCTTCCAACAGATCAGGCTAAAATGAAAATAGAGTCACCCATGCTAAATCTCCAAGTCATTGAAATAAGAACTCGGAAGAAATGAGACAGTTGAATTTCTCAAGCAGGCTAGTTTTGATGGGCATGCTAATGAAGTAACCCCTGGTTTGAACTTTATGCAAAGATTGAGACCTAAAGTATCTTCACATTAACCAATAAATCATTTTCCTGCCGTCACCCTATCCAGTCTTTTAAGAAAAGAAACTTGGAAACAATTGATCTGATTTTTCCCTTTGTTTCTGCCGTATTTGTTTATTCTGGGTCTTTATAACTAATCTCAGTCTATCAGAACATGGGTTACATTCTGTAGAATGCAGATGACAGCACAATGATGGATCCACTAGCAACGTCTTCTCAATAGATACATCAATTTGAATGATATTCATTCACCAAACTTCAGGAGATGAGGGAGCCAGGAGAGAGTATATTGGCACCTGATTTTCAGAAGGTAAGAGGGAAAGACATGTTGAAGAAGACAAGAAGAGTTGCCTCTATCCTTCCTCTTCCAACTCTAAGCAATGTACAGCATTGGAAGGGAGAGGGACTAAATCAAGCCCTTAGACTTGAAAACCAGCATCAGGCCCCTGCCATGAAATCCAGTGCCAGGAGCTCCACAGCCCCAGGACAGTGCACACTACAGGTGAAACCTGTAGAACCATGTTAGACAAACACCAAGGAACACCCCCCCTTAACTATGAGCAGCAGCAGAAGAAAAAGGCAACACACTGTGGAACAGGATAAAATTATGACAAAGCTTTGCATTGTAGTTCAGGGCCAGGGCATGTTACAGTGAAACTCACATCAAATGGAAACCAAGGTTCCAGATTTAAGCCCAGTCTTATAGAGTAAAGCTGTAGGCATCCCCTAGCATCTGGTGAAGATGGGTACACAGACAGACAGATCTATGTTTCATCTTATATTCTTACCAGGTGTGGAGTAGGCAAGTCTACCCACCTATATCGAGACTTCCCATCTTTGTGGCTGTAGGAGCCAGACTAAAGTTACCCACTTTAGCATCAGTCTAGAAAACCAAGGGACTGTATTTACAAAACTACCTACAATGTCTGACAGCACAACAGGGAGCAAGAATAGAAGTCAGGGACGGACTAGTGGTACAGTGCCACAGTCAGAACCTGCAACAGTCCCAAAGCCAGAGAGATGCATACCACCCAGTCACCACTACGCTGTGCAAACAATCTTTGCACACCATAAATATGTGTTGCTCTCATTGTTAATAAAAAACTGATTGGCTGATGGTTAGGCAAGATTTGGGGGCTGAAAGAATGCTGGGAAGAATGAGGGTGGAGTCAGAGGAGTCATCAGCCAGATGGAAAGGAAGCAGGATATTCAGGAGAGGTAAAAGCACAAGCCTTGGGGTAGCACATAAATGAATAGAAATGGATTAATTTAAGTTGTAAGAGCTAGTTAGGAATAAGCCTGAGCTATCAACCAAGCATTTATAATTAATAAGAAGTCTCTGAGTAGTTGTTTGGGAAGCAGCCGGCAGAACAGAGCTGATCTAGGTCCCAACAAAAAACTCACCTACAGGGAAGATGGAAGGGGAATGGGGGAAAAATGTGTATAGCTCAATTTAAAAATGGCCATAAAAATAAAAAAAACACAATGACAGCTTATGCTGGAGAAGATGTGAAGAAAGAGGAACACTCCTCCATTGCTGGTGGGAGTGCAAACTTGTGCAGCTGCTATGGAAATCAGTATGGCAGTTTCTCAGAAAATTAGGGATCAATCTACCTTAAGACCCTGCAGTACCACTCTTGGGCATATACCAGAGGAGGCACATTCACACCACAAGAATATTTGCTCAACTATATTCATAACAACCTTATTCATAATAGCCAGATATTAGAAATAACCTAGATACCCCTCAACTGAAGAATGGATAAAGAAAATGTGGTACACTTGCACAATGGAGTACTACTCGGCAGTAAGAAACAATGACATCCTAAAATTTGCCGGCAAATGGACATAACTAGAAAAAAAAAAAAAAAACATCCTGGGTGAGGTAACCCAAAACCAGAAAGACAAATATAGTATGTATTCACTCAAGTGGATACCAGTTGTAAAGCAAAAGATACCCAGCCTACAGTCCACAACCCCAGAGAAGCTAGAACCCTCTTCTAGAAACAGATGGAAGCAGATGCAGAAATCCACAACTAACCACTGGACCAAGCTCCTGGAGAACAATCTAAGTGAGGGGGGAGCAATAGTATGAACAAAGGACTCAAGACCATGTTGGGGAAATCCACAGAATTAGCTGACCTGAGCTAATGAGAGATCACTGACTCTGGTCTGACAAATGGGGAACCTACATAAGACCAAAGTAGACTCCCTTAATATAGGTGACAGGGTGTAGCTAGGACAATATATGAGGCCACTGGCACTGGGTCCAAGATCTAACTCTAATTCACAAATGAACTTAGTGGAGCCCATTTTATATGGAGAGATACTTTGCTCAGCCTAGACACAGGGGTGGGAGTGTGGAGATGTCCTGGTCCTGCCTCAAGATGGGACAGATTTAGTAGACTTCCTAGGGGAGACCTTACCCTCTCCAAGGAGCAAATGGGAAGTGGAGAGGGGAGTGGGGGGGGGGGTAGGAAGAGAGGAAGGAGGGGTAACTGGGATTGAAATGTAAAAAACAAATTAATAAAAAATGTTAAAAACACCTCTGTCTGCATCACTATGTGTAGCTGGTTATAACAGTCTGGAAGTGATGAGTCTACCTCAACAACTGGCAGTGTATAGCAGTGTGACCCTTTGTCTTGCATGGGTGCTGCATTCTCTCCATAGGCTTTGAGCTTGGGCTGAGGGTGTGAGCCAACATTGTAGTATCGGTGATCACATAACTGCTTATTGCAGCTTCTCCAAAAGTCCAAACAGTGTAACACGTAGAGAATATTTTCCACTTGGGGAATGTGAAGGAAGATGAGCGCCTGAGACTAGAAGCTGGTCCTTCCACAGTAAGGTTTCCAGGAACTGGGCAGACTCCACAGTCTAACTACAGACCAGAGACTATGAACAAGCCCTCTGATCTGCTTCAGCCAAGGAGGAAGCCGTGGGAGCACAGCACCTTTTTTAGATACCACTTGATTTCTGTTACACAGCATATTAGTTTGGACTAAAACTGAGCTTGGATTTCCCCCTAGTGTTGAAATACACACTAACAGTGAGGCTTTTTAACAATTTACTAGTGCCATCTAGTGATAAAACGGCAGAAGTAACTTTAGGTTTGGGAAAAGAAGGAGGAACACACAAAACCATACAAATAGGAATACTCCCTGAGCCAAGACACACAGGGGTGGGCCTAGGCCCTATCCCAAAGGATACAAAAGACTCTGATGACACCCTATGGAAGGCCTCACCATCCAGGGGGAGCAGAAAAGATATGTGACAGATAAGGTTTTAGTTGGTGGGGGGTAGGGGAGGACGGGTGGGAGAAGGGAACTGGGATTGTCATGTAAAATAATCCTGTTTCTAATTCAAATAAAAAAAAGTTGGAAAAAACTGTACAACAACAACAAACTATACAACAAAAATAGAGGTACAAATAAATGCCTAACCCTTCAATGTGCAGACAGCATTGCATATCAGTAAGAACTGCCAGAAATCCATGATCTCACCTTAGCAGGCGACAGAAATCTACTACATTAGTCTAGGTAGTAACCCCTAGTGGAATCCTTAAAGGAGCTGTTTCAGTAAACCCAATGAACTTCCAGAGAGACACGGAGAACTGATTTGATACACTAGTAAAGAAATTTCACAGAAACGTGAAGGCAATTTTTAAGGATAAAACTAAAACCTTTGGGAGTGAATATAACATTAAGCAAATCTTAAAACTCAGTA